TCTGATGTGATAATTTAATATATTTAGTAGTAGATCTAAGATGAAAACAATAGTAGAAGCCAGGACAAAAAAATTGTCTAAAATTATGTGTTCTGAGAAAGTAGAAATAAAAGCCTAAAAAACAATAGTAGAAGGAGAGGAAGAGAAGAGAGTAGAATAATTCATTTCTAGTTGTATCACGATAGATGGGAATTAAAGGATATTATTCATTAAAAACTGAATAACAATAGAAAATTTGGTTAAATTAAAAAATAGTATACTAAAGTCACTTTTAAAAGTTATATACAAAAGTAAGCAATGTGTAGAATAAGATGATAATGTTTCCTAAATATCAAAAGAAATAAAAAAAAAGAGCACAGAAAATGTATAACATAAATATAGCAAATTTAAAGTAACACATAATAATACCATAAAATAATAAGAAAGAATTGAGACTGAACCTATAGATTACATCGATAAATATGAATAGACTTAATTCACCTAAGAAAAAATTTCTAGCTTGACTCACAAAGCAGGACCCAACTATACTGTTTAGAAAACATACGCCTAAAACAAAAAGATCCAGAAAGACTAAAAACAAAGGGATAAGCAAAAGTTTACTAGGCAAATAAGAAAACAGAGGCTGTGTATTGAGTAGAATTTAAGCAAAAAGCATATAATGTGATAAAGGTCACTTTTTAATACTGAAAGCAAATACTCACAACGAGTAATAGAAAACTTTAGCACACCATTCTCAGCATAAGACGGATCAGTGTACAAAAAATAATTATATAAAAGACAGACAACATAATCAATAGGGTAGAGAATATGGATATATTTTGAAACTTTACACCCTGAACAGAGACTACATGTTCTTCTCAAATGCAAATGGTACATTTACAAAAACTGATCACATATTAGGTAACCAAAAAAAATCAGCAAATTCCATCAAATAGAAATATTATATAGCCTAGAGGACCCAGGTTAAAAAAAAAAAAGAAAAAAAAAAAAAGAAATATTATAAATACTCTGATCACAATACTATAAAACTAGAAATTAATAAAACTTAAAAACAAAAAGGCTCTTCCTTTGAAAATTAAAAAATCTTTTACTAAGCAAATCTTGAGAAAAAAAGGAATTTAAACTGAAATAAAAGATTTTCTAGAAAAAAAGGAATAAAAACTTCATATATTAGAATCTATGAGACATCTGAAGCAATGTGCAGAGGAAAATTAAAAACATATCAATAAATCCTAGCACTCTGGGAGGCCAAGGCGGGCAGATTGCTCAAGGTCAGGAGTTGGAAACCAGCCTGAGCAAGAGCGAGACCCCGTCTCTACTATAAATAGAAAGAAATTAATTGGCCAACTTATATATATAGAAAAAATGAGCTGGGCATGGTGGCACATGTTGTAGTCCCAGCTACTCGGGAGGCTGAGACAGTAGGATTGCTTGAGCCCAGGAGTTTGAGGTTGCTGTGAGCTAGGCTGACGCCATGGCACTCACTCTAGCCTGGGCAACAAAGCGAGACTCTGTCTCAAAAAAAAAAAAAAAAAAAAATCAATAAAAATAAATGTATTAAATTCCCAACTCAAAATCCACAAAAGCAAGAAAATAAAACAGAGAGCACAAATAAATAAATAATAAAGATAAAATCTAAAATCAATAAAGAGGAGAATGGAAAAAAATAGATGTAATAAATACATCAAAATTATGTTATTTTGGAAAAAATTAACAAAACAAACAACTTGCTAACTTAAAGAAAAAAAGGAAAAACCACAAATCTACAAAAAAATGACAAGAGGGAAATTAACCACTGAAACAGAAAAATTTAAAACACCTTAAGAGACTACTTTTCAAACCTACTGTTCAAATAAATCTGAAAAGTTAGATGAAATGGATAATTTCCTAAGAAAAAATTGTTTGCAAAAATTGACCCCATTAGATAGAAAGTTTAAAAAGACCAATTTTCCTAGAAGAAATGGAGGAACAAAAGAGCACCAATCCCATAAAGTTGCATAGGAGAAAATTCTACTAAATTTTCAAAGAACAAATAGTCACAATGCTATAAACTGTCTCTGACTTTTCTGGGGAAATATTATAGATATAAAATATTTAACAGTATAGCTGCTGTCTTAGGGCTGCCAATTCGAACCTCCTATACAATAAACTTTGTTCAATACCAATCAGTTTTCTACCTTGCAAGACCTAATTCAAAATCACCCAGCCCAGATCCTAAAACCGTCCTCTCCTGACTTCCCCCTTGTGAGACATTACTAAGACACAGTCGAGGTGTGTTTTCTCTTATTATAATAAGTTGATAAACTTAGCTTTGCTTGATCAATAGGTTTTTTTGGCAGTCTTTTGAAGACTGGACAGTGAAAAGAAAGAAAACACCACAGGTAAGGATTGGAGAATATCTCAGAGTAACAAACAAATAGGAATGTAAGAAGTGAGAGCAGTTCTGAGAGGATAATGAGACATTTATTTAGTTTTACCATGCTGCAAGTAAAGGTGACTAAAATTCTGGAGGGCACACTGGGGGTCATACCCATAGAGATGACTACTTTAAGTTTGGGGAATGGTAGAAGAAACTATATAGAAAAAAGTATAAAACTATGTGAAAGCTACCTTAAAAATATTGCTTAGCAGGACATGTCATTCATTAGTTAATAATTAACTACTCAAGAGGTAATGCATATGAAAACCCCTTCAGGTAATTCATTTGCAATTTTCTTTATCACATTAGATGAGTTACTTCACAACTAGAAAATCAGATGGCCATTTCTTCTGAGATTTAATGACATACTTCTTAAGAAACAACAACAGAGGGATGTGATCACCGTGTCCAGAAAAAAAAATAAAAATAAAACAAAGAAAAAAAACACATACAGTTTTTAAAAATCCATGTGCCCAAAAAATCAAATCCATTTAAAATTTGAATTTTAGGACTGCAATAGATTCCGCGTAGAAATAATAAATCTTCATCTTTACAATATCAGGTAATGTTAGAACATGGCACATTTTCAAGATAAACAAAGAAACACATACTAAAATTGTTGCTACCCTTCCCACCCCCAACCCCAATAAGCATCTATCGGCATATTCTAGAAAGCAAAGCTTCTTCATGCAAATGTCCACCAGAAACAAGCACCACCACCTGTTCCTAAAATAGCTAGGGATGAAAGAGAAGGAAAGTGAGAAAGCTGGAGAGGTGACTAACACACTGCAGGGAAGTGCTCTACAACTATTGGCATGCAGTGAACATCAAGCAGGTGAACAGAGGCTAGATTAGAACACTGAAAGGAGCTGAATGCTCCTAGCAGAAAGCCCAACTTCCTGGTTCATCTCAAGAAGAGATCCCAGTGTGAAAGAATTCTATCACCAAAAGGACTAAGGGTTGTTAACAGAGGAAACTCTCAGGAACAAAACAGAAGTTATAAATGCTAAGTTCTTCCATAAACAATAAATCCACATATACTAGATAAAGCAGTATTTAAATTAGTTTGTTCCATTACATAATTTCATATTCAACTACTAGTCATATATGTATATAACAGAATATATTTCATTATTTATAACTCAAATACAGGGCACCTCCAAAATGGAGTTATTTTATTCTACACTGAAAAGAATATTTTGGTTCTAATTATATATAACAGATACACAGACTGTTCCCAAATTCTATAATCCTAACATTTGCCTCAGCTTAATGACTCATTTATCTAATCAGGGAACTTGTCATGCATTTTTCTGATTTTTTTGTTGTTTTTTCCTTCATAAACATCAATATTATCATTTAAAAATTGGTCTGCTTCCAACAAAAGACTATAAGACAATGACAGTATTATGAAAATTAGGAAGAATTATTATATAAATTATATTTATATAAATTATATTTATATAAAATTATTATATAGATTATAACAGTTAAAAGATAAAATATTTAACCAGTCAATTGAAGACCATCCTAAAATTTTCCTTCCATAATAAACACAGACTAAAGAAGACCATTAGAGAGCCAACTTATGGTTATGCATGGAAATAAAACATTATTTCAACTCTACTTCATCAGTGATAAATAAATATTTTACTTCATATTAGACATATAGAGCCCTTTTACTATATATTTTTAGGACAATTCCAAAATGATATTGCTTTCCCTAATATATTCATGAATACACTCATACTTGTCAAACCATATATATACCTAATGTTGGCTGAGATGATAACAAAGTTATATTCTTAGTCAAAAACAGTGCAGTTTTATTCAAACACAATTCCAATGACATAATTTGTGATTAATACAAATTCACATTTAAATATAGCCTTCTATTTGGCTGGGTTGGTTGAGGGAGATACATTTTTGCTCACTAAATTTTTAAAAATTCATGTTTATTTTCTATTATTAAAAAACGGGGTGGGAGGAAAGAGCACATTTAAAGGCAAATAAAAAAAAAAGTAAAAGTGACTAAGTGAGTATCATTTCAGCTAAAAGCTAATGGATTATTTAACATATACCCTATTTCCTAGACCAGGCAGGGATCAGGAAACTATGGCCAACAGGTCAAATACAATGCACTGCCTATTTCTGCAGTTTTATTAGAAAACAGTCATGCTCGTTTCTTTACTTATTGTCTATGGCTGCTTTCACACTACAGTGGCTAAATAGTTGCAAAAGAGACTGTATGATCCATAGAGTATAAAATATTTATTATGTGGCTCTTTATAGAAAAAATGTAAGGACCATTGCTCTAGGCTTTTTAAGATACAACATGGAATATTTCTACATTAGTGCTAAGGGTAATTTTGCCTCATTTATGATTTGACATGTACTATTAAGGTGCCCTTTATTTGAGTCCTATTAAAGTAAGGTTTAGCTTTAGTGTTGTGTTCACTGAGGTTTCCCATGTACAAACCTTTACATGGGAAGAAGCTGTGAAGGTTAGCTTTAGATTAGCAAAGACTATTCCCATCAGATTTGCTTGCTGAGTATTTTTCTTATATTGCTATAAAATTACCATTTCGGAGTCACTGTGAGAGGCCTGACCCAGGCTGGGTACAGGCCCTAGCTCAGAGTGAGAAGCTTGGTCAAGGGAGAGAAGGGGCTCAATAATGTCATCGTAATCATCTTCCTCTGTATCCCCCTCCCCATCGGCAAAAGTACCTCTAGTCAAGAAATCGGAGCGCGTCCGCGCCATTCGAGCTTTCTTTTTATGGGCCGGTCTGGCAACCTGCTTAACCAAATGATAAAACAAATAACACAATAATGTTTTGTTTTGGGTGGTTTTTTTTTGGGGGGGAGATGATGCCAATGAAAGACATCAGAGGGCTCATGAATTTCTTGAAACATCCCTCCACCCCACAGTGCCCTTTCCACCAGTAGAAGTCACAGGGATGACCAAAAAGAATCTGTATATATTACTCTGAACAAAGGATAAAAATGGAAGCTAAATTTACACTGTTCCTCTCCATAGCCAAGGAAGTCATCCTTCACTGCCATAAAGCAACAAAGTCACTTGCATAAAATGCCTTCTTTTTCTTAGCAACTTCTTTTTCATAAATATAATCTGTGCTTTTTTTAGGTACCATTCCCTGCCTGATGCACACTTTCCTATTATAACAGGCTTAGCTCACAGCTTCTTTCTCTAAAAACATTTGGAAGTAAATGGGTAGATGAGGTGCCCTACATACAAGATTAATAATTTTCAAATTAGCGTGCATCTATTTCACATAGAAGATAGATAAACAAGATCCAATACTTACCTCTCCTTGGCCCGGCCCAGCTAATTTCACAGATTTCCAAGCTGATTCATCTTGTTTATGGACTTGAGGATTTCCACTGTTTAAGGCTTCCTTGTTGGCACTTTAAATAAAACAATGGGATTACCTTTCAATTCCTAGCAGATATCACATGGCAGCAGTCTTAAAATATAGCATGAATTATAGTCCAACAAGCCAGGTCATAGAATTCCAGCAAATTCCATAAATATTTTCAGATCTTAGTCATTTTTTCTGCTTACCTAATACTATTATCAAGAATCTACACATATTGATTGAATTACTAGAGGCCCTGTCATGATACTCGCTGGGTATATTTCACTATGATGACATATGTTTAAGAATAGTTAAAGCAAAATTAGCTCAAGAAATGAAGTGGGGCTGGGCGCAGTGGCTCACGCCTGTAATCCTAGCACTCTGGGAGGCCGAGGAAGGCGGATTGCTCGAGGTCAGGAGTTCCAAACCAGCCTGAGCAAGAGTGAGACCCCGTCTCTACTATAAATAGAAAGAAATTAATTGGCCAACTAATATATATAGAAAAAATTAGCCGGGCATGGTGGCGCATGCCTGCAGTCCTAGCTACTTGGGAGGCTGAGGCAGGAGGATCGCTTGAGCGATCTCAGGAGATTGAGGTTGCTGTGAGCTAGGGTGACACACTCACTCTACCCTGGGCAACAAAGTGAGACTCTGTCTCAAAAAAAAAAAGAAATGAAGTGAGTTTGATGATGAGAAAAGAAAAATATCAAATCCCCAAATCTTTAGAATATTAGCCTTAGAAGGGGCTTTTTCATCTAATCATTATAAAATACTTGATAAGAAGCCATCTAGTGATGAGGGATTCATTTTTTGTTTTATATGAGATGGTTCCTATTGATTAGAAAATTCTCTTTCTGAAATAGTTCTCTCTAGCCTTCAATCATTGTCTTATTTTAAAACTTAAAGTTATATAGAATAAAATTAACACTGGCAGGATAAGAAACTGTTTTCAACCTAAAGTTTTGTCCCAGACCATACAGATGTTACAGTGTTAGCTTGTAAAAATTTAATTTTGCTGGCATAACCACATGATAAGACTGATTTATCATTAAATTCTAGGCAGAATGGATGTCAGGATCTAACGAAACTCTGAATAGAACCTGCACATTCATGGCTCCAATTATGCATGTTATTAACCCAGTACCATAGGTCTTAAAACTTATGAACAACATATTGCCAAGCTCTCCTAAGTAGGACTGTAAACTCCTTAAGAATCATATCTTACCTGCTAGCATCATGCTGGTTGAAAAGTAGACACTAACTTATGATACTAATTGGGGGATTAATTGTTCTTTCATTCAAAATCTTTCATTTAATTTTTATAAAAGAAAGTCTAGGTGCCCTAAGAAGTTATCTTGTCCTTTGCCCCTATGCACTAATCCTTAAATGAACCCAAATAGATGGCAATTCTTCCTAGCTAATGATTTCTCAGAAAGGGTGGTGGCTTTCTGAGCGTGGTGGCTCACGCCTATAATTCCAGCACTTTGGGAAGCCGAGGTGGCAGGATCACTTGAGGCCAGAAGTTTGAGACCAGCCTGAACAACATAGTGAAACCCCGTTTCTACAAAAAATTAGCCAGCATGCTGGTGTGTGCCTGTAGATCCAGGTACTCAGGAGGCTGAGGCAGGAGGATTACTTGAGCCCAGGAGTTTGAGGTTGCAGCAAGCTATTTATTATGGTGCTACCACATTCTAGCTCAGACAACAGAGTGAGATCCTGTCTCTATTAGGGGTGGAGAGGAAAGACTTCTCAGAGAGCTGAGCAATTCTAGCTTGTCCTAAAGGATTCCTTCCTGGCCGTTAAAATATCTCCTGCCATAGTTGAGCCTATTAGCCTTTCATTTGTCCTCCAAAGAGAGATAAAAATTAATAGGATCTTTGATAGTACTTTACCACTCCAACTAATTTTTCAACCCACGGCATTTTCTTTAGATTCTCCATGATTTCTTTATTGTTTTCTCTCATTAAGCAGATGAAGACTACTATGTACTTATCCCCACTATGGTACAGAAAGAACACTAACCTAGTGTTCCTTCCTAATCATAAAACCCAATGCGGATCCATAATCATGAAACTCAAGATCTAGTCTCAGCTATCTAAATATAATACCTTGAATAAGTCATTTCACTTCTAAGGGCCTCAGGGATCTTATCTATGAGGAAACTGGATTAGATAATTTACAAATACAACTAATTAAGATTCTATAAAATGCTAAGGTTTTAATATTACTTATAGAATAAGATTTGAAGTATGAATTTTATCTGTAGACTTTCATATAAACAATCTAACATATGATAATTTTGAAGATAAGGAGATTATTAAGGTAAAGCAAACTAGAGCAAGTAGATTTAAGACTATACATTTTAGAAAAATGATAAAAGGATGATTAATGGTTTTTGGAATCTACAACTAAATCTTCTACAAAAGAGATTCACAGATCCAACAGCTGCATTATATAATATATATCTATATACACGAACACACATCTCACATCACTAATTTAATCAGTATGACAGGAAATATGTTTTTAACACTCTCTTATGGGTTTATATGCTACACAAAGACTTTGACCTTGTATGCAATCTCTGGATTAATGGGCATGAATGAGACTCAAGCTGTCACTATCATTGAACTGCATTTCATAATACTGTAGAAACCTTTGTGGAAAACTAAATACAGGAGTCTCTTGCCCATATTTACAAAGAGTTTCTCTAAAATCTGTATGCAATTTTCAAGCCTGAAAGATATAAATGCTCAAGCTACTGTAGAAGAGAAAGGTTATTATAAAATTTAATTTTTTAGCCCAAGGATACAGCCCTTCTTGCATTTCAACAGTGATACTCTCTCACAACAATGAAAAGAATCCACTGTACACAAAGACAATACAAATATCTTAAATTTTATCACATTTGCTTTTATATATCACTTAAAATGCTTTTCTCATGACTACCACTGATTTAAAAAAGTATAAAGAACTTCCTCTTATATGAGTTATCTAAAATAGTCAAACTCCTAGAAACAAAAAGTAGAATGATGGTTGCCAGGGACTGGGGAGAGGAAAACAGAAATTGTTTAACTTGCACAAAGTTTCAGTTCTATAGAATGAAAAAGTTCTACAGATCTGTTGCACAACAATGTACATACAGTTAATATCACTGTACCATACACTTAAAAACGGTTAAAATGGCAAATTTTATGCTATGTGTTTATCACACACACAAGAACTATAAAGGAGGTAATGAAAACCATAAATAGACCAACAACTATCACAAAGCACATTAACTTCTTTAAAGCCTGACACTAACAAGCTTGGACTGCTAAACCCCACAGCTTTAGCGCACCAAGCATTTGCTGAATGCCTACTATGTTTACAGGCACTGTGCCGCCCTTCTCAAATGCCTTCTCATTTAATGGGGAGGAATCAAATACTCTGCTATCTAAGCTTAATTAAAGATTCCTAGGGTGTTACTACATCCAACTGCAGGTATCTGGTAGAGTCACAATTAGGGCATATTTTTACAAAAAGAAAATAGCTAATTTGAGGAGCCACTTAACACAAATAGTTGGAGCAGAACAAGGCACACAAATACCTGGAGTGGAATAAGGCACCTTAATAAATACTCCAAAAAGTTTCCCATTTATACATAAAAATAAATAAACATTTCACTTACAGGGGAACACTCATATTGTCCTTTGGTGTGAAGAAAATGGAACTAGTATTTCCCTCTCTGGAAAGGTCATCAGATTTGTGGCTGGAAGACTGAGTTGGCCTAAAGTATTCTCTTTTTGAAACGCGATTATTAGAGAGTTTATAGGCTACATTCAGTTGGGTGCCTGCTCTGTCTGTCTTGGATAATTCCTTGACAATACTAGATTGACATGGACTTCCCTTTCTTTCAAAGAACAAGGTGACCGGTTGGTCCTTCGGGAGTAAGTGAGCAGAGGGACTGTCTTTTGGGATAAGAGCTGCATCTTTTGTAGTTACTGATGGGGACGCCAGTACACTACGTTCTCTCTTATTTGGGGTATTTATGCTGAGAAGAGAGGATGGCATCTCTACTCTTTGTTTTGACTGATAGAAAGATGGTGCCAGGAAAGACTCCCCAATTCCTGACTTGTCAACTGTCTGGAAGGCTTTACGCTCCTTCTCTAAAATATCTGTTTGCTGGCGAATCTGTTCCATCATCTCTTTTTCATTCTGCTGCTGCAACTGCTTTTGCCTTTCTTCCTTCTCAGTGTTTAGCTTTTCTAACTTCTTAAGCACAGTATTAGAAGAATCTGTATTCAAAGAAGGAACTTGATCTTCTCCTGAGAAGTGATACCTCCTATCTTCCCTGTTGATATCCAAAGTAAGAGCTGTCCCTAGTGTGTCTTCATTCTCTAACAGTTTGTTTCTTTGGATATTTGTATCTAGTTGGGAACTTGTTTTCAGTGCATCTTGTGGTGGAATATAAAAAAATGTTGGCAGACTATTTGACATGAAGGAGTCTCTCAGCTGTGGTTTACAAGTAATAGGTTCAGAACTGTAGACCAGCTTTCCCTTCATATTTCCATTCTTCAAAAGCTCTGCATAGCTAGTTTCCCTTGAGGCACTGAGGGTTTTGTCCTGGGAATCAAATTTTGGACTGCTAGATATCTTAGGTGATGGAAACTGTAAGTCTTCTTCATCTAAAATTATAGACTCTGGCTTATTCTTTTGGCTTTCCTCACTGCTCAGAAGTTCCAAGCTTCCTTGAGAGCTTTCACTATCAGGTGTACCCTGTGGAGACTGAAGGCCTTCAGGCATCAATTCTGTAGACCACCTTCGTTCCTCTGAAGGGGATACACCACCAAGAGAACGGACTTTCAGTAATTCTAAGCTAAATATAGCTTGCTCTAGTTCTCTCATTCTCCGACTTTCTCTTTTAGCCCGGCCTACTTTTTTCTGATGGAGATCCTCCAAGGATTTGGGTCGCTTTCTTACAATCACATCTTCTTGCGAGTCCACACCACTTTGGCTTCTGGCTTTCTCCTGCTGCTTGTCTGGGGACTCTCTTGAGCAGTCCAATGAACTTTCACGGCTAATTCGATTACTCTCCATCACAGATTTACATTCCTCTATGGCTTTCACTCTGTTGTCAAAGGAGCAATCCTCCCATTCTGAAGGGTCTGAACCCTGAACTTCCAGAGCTCTATATCCCTTGATATTCACCAATCCAAGTTCTAGCTTTGTTTCTTTTAGCCTTTGTTCTTTTAAAGCTTTAAATCTATATAAAAACAGACAAAATGGGTTACAGACATCTCTTGGTTAGCACTGAAGAGGACATATTTATTGAGAATTTAAGAAAAAACTAAAAGTTGTAAAATTTTCTTTTAATAATACCTAAGTACTTCCAAAACTAACTTGTATGCACATTTCATAATTTTTCTATTTCATTCAGTCAGATATATTTCATTAACTGTATTATTCCTAGGTAGTATTACTGCATTTTTATTCCAGAAAAATGCAGTAATACTACCTAGGAATAATACAGAATATCCAGAAATACGGAATATCCAGAAAAATGCAAACCAACCCAAAAGTAAAGTTCTCATTTTAATAATATCCTCATTTTAAGGTAAACCTTAAATGTGAAATTAATGTTTCTGAAGGTAAAAATGGTTGAATATTACCAGTTTTGTAATATTCAACCTAATGTAAAAGTTAATTCTTAGCAGTTATAAGCATAGACCATGTAGATTTTCAATCTAATTTAATTCAATAAGCACTTATTTAACTTCTATTATAGACCAGACAATGTGGTAGAAGTATCATAGTCTAGTAGAAAAGAAAAATTGTAAATAACACACTCCAATACAAATTAGACAAGTGTTAAAATGTAGAGCAGGGGTCCTCGAACTTTTTAAACAGGGGGCCAGTTCACTGTCCCTCAGACCGTTGGAGAGCCAGACTATAGTTTTAAAAAAACTATGAACAAATTCCTGTGCACACTGCACATATCTTATTTTGAAGTAAAAAAACAAACGGGCAAAAACACCCACATGTGGCCCGCGGGGTGTAGTTTGAGGACACCTGATGTAGAGTTATAAACAAAGTACTTGGGAAGAACAAAGAAAAAGCGATTATTATAGTAACAGAGATTACCTTTGTCTTGCTCTGAATCCCCTACATGTTGACTGCAAAAGGATAATTTTGTGCTTTTGTTCTTGGTACCTCTTACTTTCCCTGTAGGCTTTCCATCTTGCCTGTATGCAGACAGCAGCCATGTGCCTGCGTCTATAGTGCTCTCTCCATCTCTGCTGGATGATGATGGTTGCAGCCCGTAGTTCCAAGTACCGTTGCCTCTCTAAGTGAGCACGCCAAGAAGCTTGGAGAAGAGCAGCTGCATTAGCCATAACAAAAGCATCCTTCTGCACAGGTGCATCTCTGATTTGCTTCTGATTTAGGTAATTCCTCCAGAATCGCTATGGGGAAGACAAAATAATAGAAACTGGTTGTTATATCTTACACTACACATTTTCACAAAAGAGGGAAAAAAGAATAAATTTCTTACATCAAAATTCGAGGTTAAGTGGCTAGGCAGCTAAATTGTTAGTGATTAAAAATAAAAGTTTTAATTTCTAGATATGATTAGTTAAAACAGCTATTTTAAATAATATAAACTTGATGAAGTTAATTACAGAACTTAAATTTTTGGATGCCTTCATTCCCCGCAAATTAGCTTTAACAAATTACATTATATTCTCTTGCTACAAATTGCCCAAATACATTAATGGGTTTAAAGTAACTAGGCATACATTCCAAAGATAAAGATACTAAAAATATCTGTGCACAAACAGAAAAGGTCTTATGGAACAGCCAATGATATAAATCAATGAGGGAGATAATAAAACAGACACATATGAAATACGGTGCCTATAATTCAAAATGAGTGTCCAACAACAATAATGTACCTAGAACTCTCAAATATCACTCAGAAAACTACTAAATAAAAAGAACTATGTCAACAAAAATTAAGGTACGTAACTCCTTTGCCCTACTCACAACTCATAAGATATTGTAAGTTCAATTTAATTTAAATTCAGTGCAATCAATATTTACTAATAGTCTACCATTATGTGCCAGGTACTCTGTTGGGTGCTATCAGCATTTTAAAAATGAGTAGGACACATTCTAGTTTCTGAAATTTACATAATTATTTAAATGTTGCACAGTAAAGTGGTTCTGATTACTAAACAAGGGCCAAATAAACTAGTCAATCTCATGCAAAGAATCCTTTTGTTTCTCACCTGGATGACAATGGATGCCTGTCTCATATGGAGGAAATGCTGCCTACATAGCAAGACCCTGAACCATCGCTGCAACAATATGATTCTGCGGAGCACCTCTTGGTGAAGCAGATCTTGTAAGTGCTGTCGTTCCTGCTCCTTTAGGAAGACCTATCAGAAAGAAGAAAGATGAGAAGTGCCGCTTAAGAAGAAAAGGGAAACATCTCATGAATGAATCATCCTTTTTGTAGTAAGATTTTAGAGAACAAATACAGTGGCAGGCACTTAAATGAAGTACTGATAAATATTTCTATTGATTTATCCAAAGTAGTCATTCTCAAATGGAAAAGGAGATAGCTAAATACTGAAGGTGAGCTGGGCATGATAGTGCACGCAGATAGGCTCAGCTACTCAGGAGGCTGAGGCAGGAGGATCACTTGAGCCCAGGAGTTTGAGTGCAGCCTGGGTAACACAGCAAGATCCCATCTCTTTAAAAAAAAAAAAAAAGGAGCGGGGGTCGGGGGGTGGAGGAGAAAAACAAAAAAGAAAAGGGAAAGTGAGGAAGAGTATAAAAATTCCAGTGCCAGAGATTGTGATATATTATTCCATTGGGAAAACCACTGCTATGAGTCAATGAACTACGGTAATATGTCATATATTTCAAGGGTGTTGGGGTGGGGGGAAAGAAGTTGATAGATCTTAAAACTTGATCATAACATGAATAAACCAATGAAAACAGTCTTTTTAAAAAAGGCTTCCTTATCATTGCATAGGGCAGTCGAAAGAGAAAAAAAAGAAAAATAAAAAAAAAAATAAATAAATAAAAAAGGCTTCTTACTGTCCAAAGTTATTAATCAGTTTATTTATTTACTTCTTCATTAAACTAATAAATCTTTAAGGTTTGAGGGGGATACAAGGATAAGGTAAACATGTCCCTTTGGAAAGAGGATTTGTACTTCATCTTTAAGAGCAGGTAGATATTATATACCTAAAGAGGCAAACAGTAAATTAATAAAGGCTAGAGACGGAAGATCTCACCTGAACAACACAAAGATCTGGAAATAATAATAAATGCATGGATAGGAAACAACAGAATAATTAATCTTCATAAAAAAGATATTAAATAGAGTGAAGCCATAATATGGAGGTTCTTAAAAAAGAGAAAGATGTTTAAATTTAATGAGGAGGTTATCAAGTGATTGTTATTGAGCAGGAGGCTGACAAAGAAATAACCATATTGAGATAATGATTTTAATATCATGGAAATTAAATAGAATGATAAATAGACTAGAATCAGATGAGCAAACTTTACTATAAGAGCACTGTAGATGGGAGGAGATAAGGAATAAAAACAAAATGGAAGTAGTAGTAATGGAGAAAAGGGAAGAGATGTGAGAATCATTTGTCGTCAAAAAAAATTAAATAAACAGAAATTTTTCAAAGAATTCAAATGAAAGATAAGCCAAAGATGATCACAGTTTCTAGCCTGAGAAACTTTCTCTACAGACAAAGAAAGTAGTTGATAAATTAAAAACAGTAAATGAATCTGGACAAAGTCACTTTGGGTGAGCTAATTTGGAGATTACAGTAGGAGAGAGAGAGAAATAGATTTTAGGCAGTTAAAATTACACTCAGAACTAGAGTATACTGGCCAGAAACTCTATGATTAATATGCACTATATTATTAAAAAAACCCTTGGCCTAATCAGTTTCCTTATGATATTTGATTCGTATATTTTTTACAAACAATTTGATAGACAAAGATCACCATTAATTATCTAAAAACGTAAATGCACTCAATTTGAACAAGGGCTGTTTATATTATATTTACCATGGTTTTTCCAACTTGATAATTATCTGGATTAAGATTTATTTTCCTGAAGAAATCCTGAATGTTAAATTTGGATGGGATAATATTTTGAGGAAGAAGTACGTGGAAGTGGCTCACAAAATCCTGAAAAACGAAAAAAAATATTGTAAAATCATAAGAGAAGTGCATTTAAATAAGATCCTAAACTATGTAATTATCCTTTAGTAATCTTTTTCTCATCCTTTTAAACAGGGTAAAACCAAGAAAGTTCTTGTTACTTTAAAATACTATAAAAGGTTAATATGAAAAACATGGGGGAGTAGAAAGATATTGAACTCTATATATTATCATAGGGGAATGGAAGAAGAAAAGAAAGAAAGGGTCTAATTATCCCTTTTGTGAGAGCTATATGAGAGACCAAAGGAAAAGTTACTTAACAAGAACCTGAAATTTATAACAAGAAAAAAGCAACTGTGGCATCTACTACACGGCATAATTGAGAATGAAGCTTTCCATCCAAGTAACAAAAAAGACTCGCTCAAGTGCTGAATAGCTTCAATATAATTTCTATATCCATAGCAGCAGTAGCTGATAATAGTACCTGGTAAGCCTTGCTGGCAGCTTCCTATGAAAGAAAATCTTGCTGAGAAAACTTTAGAGAAAACCAAATGAAATATTTTCTTTTGACTATTTTGACTGAACTATTTCAATTAGGAGTAAACAGTACTGGCAAACATTCTGATCAAATGAGAAGAGCCAAGTACTAGATTCTGTTATAACAAGCTTAATGAGATTGCTGCCATTTGATGAAAGTGAGTATTTGCTATCCCTTTTCAATTCTGTATACAAAAGGTAGAATGGAAAGGAAGAAGAAAGGGAAATTTAAAAAAATGCACTATAAGAACTAATAAGCAAGATATGTGGGAGTAATTTACTTGATGTGTCTACATATTTAAAAATCACTATAAAAACAAAACCTGGAAGGAATATTTGGAGCTGTATCCTGATTGGCGAATTCGAACTGTTTCCAGCATCCCAGTGTATCGAAGCTGTCTAAGTACCAAAGCATCACTGAATCTTAAGGGCAGCTAAAACAAACAGAAAAAAGATTAATCCAGAATAGTGTAGATCTCCCAATTAATATCTGTCTTATAAGCATGGCTAACTGTTGAATATCTAGAGGTTGACTGTGGGTTATCTGGTTCAGATATAGCTAAGGTGATGGGACAAGCTCACCTCTCAATTTTTCTAGTAGCTTCAGAAAAGTTCTGATTGCTCAACCCTAGGGAACAGAGAGAAACCAAGCTTCCAGGCATCTCTGGTTGGGGAGCGAGAGGACCTTAACAGCTCCAAAGGAATGTAGTTGCCCACAAAGGCCACATAGTCCAGTCACTAACAAGTATAAAATCTATAACAAGATTAACTCACTTATACATAGTGAAGAGCTGTATTTTTGTATTTTATTATGATTTTATCTATAATCTCACTAAGAAACCATCTGTCCCACTCTACTAGTTGCTTTGGTTAACTGACAGCTGAAAGATTCTTCTAATGACCAGTACAATGTTAACAGTAGCTTATTTCACTAAATACTTTTTGCTGATGAAACTGGTATAAAACACTGTAAAACAGACCATTTCTGTAGTCACTCAGAACTAATCCCCTCATTATATAAGCACTGACAAGGAAGAGGTTACTGGAAGACAGTCACTCAACAGCAGTCACAATACCCTATCACTCCCAGGTATCTCAACAGGCATGTTTTCAGCCATTTAAAAGAAGATGTATTTGGAGCTTCTGCTATTTCTCCCTGTTCTCTAAATACTATTTTCAATGTTTCTCTAAGGCAATCCCAAACATTTTCCTGTAGCTAGGTGGCAGATACAAGCAGTCAGGGAAAAGAATCAAATTGGCAATTTGTGTTAAGTAATAATAGCAGCTAACATTTATTTAGTACCTACTCTGTGCCCTGAAATACTTTATTAATTGAACTCTTTGTATAGCAAGGTCTCAATTAATAAAAGAAATTCAAACTACTACTACACTGTAAATAAAATAGTTTCCTTTTTAGTCAATATAAAAGAAGAATAGCTAATATTTACCGAGCACTTAGTACAGGCAGCAACATTCTAAGTACTTCACGGAAATTAACTCAGACATACTCACAAAACACTATGAGGTTGGTCCTATAATTACAGTGAATTACTATAATACACAGAAGAAAATATTTAAGCAACAGAAAGTAATTTGTTTAAGGTTACAAAGCTTGTAAATAGCAGAGATGCAGACTGTTTATTGAAAATTAAGAAAGTTATAATTCCTACAGTATTTTAGCTATTTAGGCCAGAGACCATATTTTCCTATGATGAACATAAATAAACACGACATTTACATTCATTATATTGTGAAAAGCTATTTAGGGGGACTGTCATAGAAAAGAGAAAAGAATCAAGAATACCCACAGTATTCTCCCTAAGTTACAGAGACAAGAATCTCTAAACATTTAACAGATATAGCTTACATCCAAACAAGAGAAATTAATCTTAGAGTAACAAAAGTTTCATAAAAGAAAACTCTTTTTTTCTGATGAAACTTTAAGAGGTATTTGCTCCTCAAATTCTAGGTGATGCTAAATCAAACCCACATAAATACCTTACAGGTAGATAAATGTGAAAATTAGAATATCCATAAAAAATATTTATGAAACACTATTTTCCTTCTAAAAATTATAGATAGCCCTTCCCTTATTCTCTTAGGAGAATTTAAAGATTAGTTTGAAGTAAGCTGAGCTATATGCTCCCATTTACAGGACATTTTTACCTTTTCAGCATTAGAACGAATGCATTTTACAAAATATGGTTCTGCTTGACCAAGTGTCTCCATCAGCTTGCTTAATGATGCCTGCAATACAAAGCAATATAATTATCATATTCTCCATTCAAAAATGGCAATAAATAATTTATAAATATAACTATTAATGTTGGCAAAATAAACAAAAGTAGTAGCATACATAGAAAGAGGTTTGTTTCTGAAAAACACATTGTATATATTCCCTTACTGGTTAAATTAAGGATAAATAAGGCTAACGATGGTAGTATAATCTTAAAGCCTGACAATAGTAAATACTACAGATAAATTTCAGAATAATTAAGTATAGAGTAATTTTTTCACTTTTCTCATATTTCATGAAACATGTCTATTCAAACTCAAGTATGCTAGAACAACTTTAAAAATCATCCAGTAGGGGCAAGGGTATGGTGGCTCATGCCGGTAATCCCAGAACTTTGGGAGGCTAAGGAGGGAGGACAGCTTGAGGCTAGGAGGTTAGGAACAGCTGAGCAATACAGTGAAACCCTGCTTCCACAAAAAATTAAAAAATTAGCCAGGCACTATGACACACGCCTGTAGTCCCAGCTATTTGGGAGGCTGAGATGGGAGGAGCACTTGAGCCCAAGAGTTTGAGGCTGCAGTGAGCAAAGCCTGCACCACTGCACTCAAGCTTGTGTGACAGCGTCAGACTCTCTCTTTAAAATAAATAAATAAATAAATAAAAAATCATCCAGTAGCGTGTCCATTAAGGTATTTCCTTGCTTTATAATAAATATAAAGAGTATATAATGATGTCCCCTTTTTCATTCCTGGTAATTGTAATTTGTACCTTCACTCTTTTTTCTTGATTAGTCTGGTTGGAGGTTTATCAATTTTTTAATCTGCTCAAAGAGTTGGCTTTTTTGTTTCATTAATTTTTCTGTTTTCAATTTCATTGAATTCTGCTATTACCTTTATTATTTCCTTCTTTCTGCTTGCTTTCAGTATAAAATATTCTTTTAAAATATTCAATTTATTAAGGTTGAAGCCTAGATTATTGACTTGAGACCTATCTCTTCAAATTTACTAATTCTGAACTAATAGATATTAATCTAATATAGTTAATTTTTATTGTCAAATATTACATTTTTAATCTCTAAAAGTTCCATTTGAGTCTTTCATATCTTTTTTATTTAAAAGTACAAATGGCCTTTATTGGTTGCAATGGGAAGTGGAAGAGAGGAGCGGATATGACAGTTCCCTCTTATGGGGGGGGGTATCCAGAGACACTGTCATAGCCTTTCAAAAAAAAAAATTCTGTTTTCTCATCATATTCATGTTTTTGTTGTATCCTTGGGCATATTTAAAAGATTGATAATAACTGTTTTGAAATTTTAATCTACTATTTGTATCATCTCTGTCATTTTAAAGTCTGTTTCTTATGATTGTTTTTTTTTCCCCCTCTATTATGAGTTTTTTTTTTCTTGATTCTCTAAGTGACTAGTAATTTCTGATTGGATGCTAGACATTGTGTTTTACATTGTTGGATTTTGTTGTATTCCTATAAGAATGACAGACATTTTTCCTGACATGTAGTCAAGTCACTTAGGATCAATATGATTCTTTCAAGACTTGCTTGTAAGCTTTGTGAAGGCAATGCCATGCCATTATTAAAGCAATATCCTTGTGAGGACTCTGCCTAATGCTGCGGTACCAACAGGTCATTCCACTCTGGCTGGTGGAAACAAAACTATTCCTCTAGTCCCATATAAGTACCAGCAATTGTTAGGCCTACAGAATTCTTCTGGTGTTTCTTTCCCCAGTTTCATGGAGTTTTAACCTACATAAGCTCAGACTAGTAGTCAGCGAGAGAGACTCAAGATCTCCCAGCAGATCTCTAGCTTTCTCTCCATGCAGCTTTCTCTTCATTTATTCTGCCTCACAATTTCTAGTTGCCTCTACCTCTCTTTCTCTCTTCAATTAGCAACACCACTGGCATTTGTTTGGGTTCCTTCTTCCTGGGCTGTAGCAAACTACTTTTAGGCATTAACCAGGGGTTTTCCTCATTAAATTCCCTGTTCTTAGAGATCACAGTCCAGTCCCGCAGTGTTTATTGTCTAATATCTGAAAATATCTGACTCATATCTTTTGTCCAGTTTTATGGTTGTTTACAGCAGAAAGGCAAGTCCTATGTCAGTTAACCCTTTGTGAAATCAATTATTTCATTTTCATGAAAACAAATATTCAAAGTAAGGACATAGATTCAAAGACACCAGGGTGCCATCCATCTTCACACTTGCAATTTTCTCATCTATCATTTAGTTTCCTCAATGATATTTATCTCCTAGAATGCACAGAAAACTTTAGATAATGCATATGTGTGAATTAGACAAGATACATATGTATATATTTGGTAAGGGGCCTGGGAAACATGCTACATATTAGTCATTATCAGTGGATGGCAGATGATTTATTTGTTTTAGCTCATCTATATTTTCTAAATAATAAAAAATATTATTCCTATAATAATTTAATAATCCATTAGAAATACTAAAGATGATATTTTTTACAAAAATCAAAAATAATGCATGAATATAAATTAAGACTATCTGAAATTCCTGAATTTGGAAGGATTTTAAGGGAAATGATAGCACTGTGATTATAACTAAGTTTTTATTATAGTAGCTATATGATTTTCTTCAGATTAAAAAATGATTTCAGTATAGCACCTATAAAAGATCCAAGGTAACAAAACAAAGGACACTTAAACAGCTTAATGATTCTATCCTTCATAATCACAAGATTAATGGCCCCTTTTCAGATATCCACATCACTGAGTTACCTTTTGATCAGAATTTGGTTTCCCATGGTGATTTGCTAATCAGGGGAAATATGCTAATAAATAACTGTATCAAGTCTCCTTATGACTCATCTTTATATTGTAGATTAATAAACTTTGATACTGTTTTACACAGCCATGTGTATCACTCAAAGTGATTTTTCCCCCAGAAGCCATTCGTCTTTGCATTTCTAATCCACAAAGTGCAGAGAACCACATGTGAGGATAGCATCAAGGTACACACAGACATGGCTGAGAAACATTTCTCATCCTTTTTACTTCACAACCAAATGCCATTAACGCACAAAATTATTAAGACTATTTTAAATTCATGACAGAGATTTCGTTATATTCAATTCTCTTTCTTTTAAACGTATTAGCACATAATGAGTTATTTGGTTCTTCAATCTTGCTTTCTTTTTCTCACCAAATAGCCTTCACAGATTCAAATTTTACTGTAGGTCTATCATGAGAATTATCTAAAATACTATGACATTTCTAACCCACAATTTGAGGAACTGTGCTCATAAATCAAATAAGATCATATATAGGCCGGGCACGGTGGCTCATGCCTGTAATCCTAGAATTCTGGGAGGCCCAGGAGGGAGGATTGTTTGAACTCAGGAGTTCGAGACCAGCCTGAGCAAGAGCAAGACCTCGTCTCTAATAGAAATAGAAAAAAAATGGCCGGGCATGGTGGCGAGTGCCTGTAGTCCCAGCTACTCAGGAGCCTGAGGCAGGAGGGTCACTTGAACCCGGGAATTGAGGTTGCTATGAGATAGGCTGATGCCATGGCACTCTAGCCCAGGCAACAGAGCAAGACTCTATCTCCAAGAAAAAAAAAAAACATACAATGACAAGTTAGTAGATAATTTAGGTTCAAACATCCTGATTTTAAAAAGAGAACTAGAAAAAGTGTTAACATATACAAATAAAGCTAACATGAATAAGAAAAATTTTTAGCAGTGAACACTGCTTCTGTAAGTAATATAAGCATGAGATAGAGTAAAATTACACAAAGCACTCTTACCCACCAGATATTCTGCTTACTTCCATAAGTATATCAAATGAAGAGAACTTTAGAGAGAGATGATTTGAAAGAATGAAAGAGATAAATACAAAAGTAATTGGAAAAGTTATTTTGGAAGTAACTTGGTTAATTTCTTATCATATTTATTCCCAAAAGCCAAAAAGGAACTGAATTTCTCTGCATATAAAGCTAAAATAAACACACAGAAAAAAACACAATCTCATTTACTTAAATATCAATAACAGTGGCATGAGGTTTAAGTAGAAAAATATATATATCATTATGCTAACAGTGACCATATCTCAGTGGCAGGGTTAAAAGGCAGATTTTATTTATAATATCAATTTTCTGTTCCCTTTCTCCTCACACCAAAAATAATGAATTACTATTTAGGATAGCCACTATCCAGAAATATACGGATGAAAAACAGAGACACCTGACCTTTTTTTCATCTCTGGTACTCCTTTCCAAAATGACCAGGAAAATATGGCTTTTCAGTCACATGAGTGATATTCAAGTATTTTGCAGATCACTTTAACCTTTCAAGAACAATCCAAAAGAAACAGATTCTAATTTGGTATAAGTAAAATAGCAAATAACCTGAAACTGGGCACTGATGCTGGGAGGTTTCTTCTTCTTGTGCAAATGAAGAAGAGACTTGGTAATCCGATCTTGTAGGGTCAATCTTGTCAGATGTTTTAAAGAATTTACTTCCAGCAAGTGCTGAAAAAAAGGAAAAAATATATTGCTCATATAACTTAATCTAAAAGCAGAAAAAAATTCTTACTAGTTTTCATTTCCTCTCTATATGACCATTTCCTATCTTACATGACTGTAATGAATATGGAAGATTGATACTCAATACCACACTATCCTTCTGAATTCCTCTAGAAGCTGGAAAGTTAAAAAGAAAAGTACACTTCCCAAACTCTCTTGCTTCTAGAGTTCTGATTGTCATTTAAGTTCCTTAATCAAATGCCCACATGTGAAACTGGGAAGGTGTAACTGAGGCAGAGGCTCTGGATAGCAAAAATGCACTCAGTAAAGGTACTTTAGTTTTCTATGGTCCCAGCATCTAGGCACTAGTCTTGTGAGTGTCCAGAGGCAGAGTGCCAAACATTTACATTGTCCCCACAACCATACTAAATGCAGCTTAGCCATGTGGAGCAGCTTCTTCAGGATGGTTGGATCACACCACAGGTGGTATGTGCCTGGAAGCAGCAGCTGCACTGACAGTTCCCTGATTTCCTGGCTTTCTGATTGATTACAGCTGGGGTCACTTCTGCAATGCTGTTTTAATATTCAAAACTCTAAGGTTACTAATGATTTTACAAGCACCCAACTCTCTGAATTAAGTCCCTTTCTACTTAAAAGTATTTGAATCCTGATTTATAGAGACACTAAATTAAATAAAATACCAACCAAAGCTAATAGTAAGTATGCCAGGGACATACACACAGAAACACCAAAGCACAGTCCCTATTAACCCTCAACCTGCTGTGCTACCCTATAATCTAATTAGGAAGGTAAGAGACATGAAACAAAGTATACAAAATAAAGATAGCAAAAAAGTATTTGGGGACTTTTTTTAGCCACTTACAGCTTTTTAAACCACACTATATTTATGGTAGTGAGTTTATAAATGGAAAGAATATATCTACACAGATGTCAAAGTAGGAAAAGTCTTACTGTATAAGAAGCACAAGACTGTATTAAAAACATGATAAATCTAAAAGTCTAAAAATACTAACTTTGACAATATAAACATTAAAAACTAAAAAACTTTCAAGGGGCAAAGAGGATAACACTTTTTTTTCCAAGAATGTGTTATTCATTTATTTTATTTCAGCATATTATGGGAGTACAAATGTTTAGATTACGTATATTGCCCTTGCCCGCCCCCCTAGTCAGAGCTTCAAGCATGTCCATCTCCCATATGGTGTGCATTGCACTCATTACCTATGTATATACTCAACCCCTTCTCCCCACTGCCATCTGCCCGATGCCTGATAAATGTGATTCCTATATGTGCACTTAGGTGCTGATCAGTTAATACCAATTTGCTGCTGTGTATATGTGGTGCTTGTTTTTCCATTCTTGGGATACTTCACTTAGTAGTATGGGTTCCAGCTCTATACAGGGAAAAACAAGATGTGCTTGTTTTTCCCGTTGTGCTTGTTATCACCGTTGTTTCTTAGAGCTGAATAGTACTCCATGGTATACATATACCACATTTTATTAATCCACTGATGTATTGATGGGCACTTGGGTTGCTTCCACAGTTTTGCAATTCTGAATTGTGCTGCTATAAACATTCCAGTGCAGATGTCTTCTTTATAGAATGTCTTTTGTTCTTTTGGGTAGATGCCCAGTAGTGGGATTGCTGGATCATATGGTAGATCTACTTGTATCGCTTTAAGGTATCTCCATATTGCTTTCCACAGAGGCTGAACCACTTTGTAGTCCCACCAGCAGTATATGAGTGTTCCTAACTCTCTGCATCCACGCCAACATTTATTGTTTGGGGACTTTTTGATAAATGCCATTCTCAGTGGACATAAGTGATATCTATTTGCAGTTTTGATTTACATTTCCCTGATTAGAGATGTTGAGCATTTTTCATGTGTTTGTTAGCCATTATTCTGTCTTCTTTAGAAAAGTTTCTGTTCATGTCCTTTGTCCACTTTTTGATAGGGTTGTTTGATTTTTTTCTTGCTGATTTTCCTGAGTTCTAAGTAGATTCTAGTTATCAACCCCTTATCAGATGTGTAGGATGTGAAAATTTTCTCCCTTTCTGTAGGTTGTCTGTTTGCTTTCATGACTGTTTCTTTGACTATGCAGAAGCTTTTTATTTTTTTATTTTATCTTTTTATTTCAGCATATTATAGGGGTACAGATTTTAAGGTTTGAATAAATGCCCTTTCCCCCCTCCCCCCACAAGTCTGAGTCTCCAGCATGACCATCCCCCAGATGGTGCACATCTCACTCATTATGTATGTATATACCCGCCCCCTCCCCTCTCCCACGTGCCCAATACCCTATTACTGTAGTACCTATGTGTCCACTTAGGTGCTGCTCAGTTATACCAGTTTGCTGGTGAGTATATGTGGTGCTTGTTTTTCCATTCTTGGGATACTTCACTTAGTAGTATGGGTTCCAGCTCTAACCAGGCAAAATAGGTAAAATGTGGTATATCATCTTGTGAGAGAGCTTAGAGCTGAATAGTACTCCATGGTATACATATACCACATTTTTTTAATTCATTCTTGGATTGATGGGCGCCTTGGCTGTTTCCACAGCCTTGCAATATGAATTGTGATGGTATAACATTCGGTGCAGGTGTCTTTTTTGTAGACTGTCATTGGATTTTTGGGTTAGATGGCAAGTAATGGGATTGCTGGATCAAATGGTAGTTACTTGTATCGCTTTAAGTATCCCATTGCTTTCCACAGAGGTTGAACTAGTTTGCAGTCCACCAGCATGTAGGAGTGTTCCCTCTCGCCACATCCACGCCAGCATTTATGTTTGGAGACTTTGTTGATAAATCATTCTCACTGGAAGTGTATCTCACTGTGGTTTTTATTTGCATTTCCTGATGATTAAGATGTTGAGCATTTTTTCATATGTTTTGGCGATGCTTCTGTCTCTTGTAGAAAGTTTCTGTTCAGTTTCTTTGCCCACTTTTTAATAGGGTTTTTATTGTTTTCTTGCTGATTTTCGTGATTCTAAGTATATTCTAGTATCAGCCCCTTATCAGATGCGTAGGATGCCAATTTTCTCCCTTTTCTGGGTCTTGTCGTTTACTTTCATGACTGTTTTTGGCTGTGCAGAAGTTTGTAGTTTGATCATTTCATTTATTTATTTTTGTTGCTGGCTGTGATTGCTGTTTGGACTTCTTCATAACTGCTTTGCGTAAGGCCATTGCTAGAAAGTGTTGTCCGACTGTTTGCCTCTGGAATGTCTAATAGTTTCATACCGTAGGTTTAAGTCTGTTATCCAGCGTGAGTTGATTTTTGTGAGAGGTGAAAGGTGTGGGTCCTGCTTTAACCTTCTACACGTGGCTATCCAGTTTTCCCAGCACCATTTATTGAAAAGGAATTCTTTTCCCCAGCGTATGTTTTTGTCTGCTTTGTCAAAGATTAGATGGCTATATGAGGATGGTTTTATATCAGGATTCTGACATCTGTTCCACTGGTCAATATTTCTGTTTTTGTGCCAATACCAGATTGATTTAATTACTACAGCTTTGTAGTATAGTTTGATATCTGGCATATTAGTGCCTCCCATTTTGTTCGGGGTCTTCTTTGGTTCCATACGAAGCATACAATTATTTTTTCTATATCTGTGAAGAATGCTGATGGGATTTTAATAGGTATTGCATTGAATCTGTAGATCAGTTTGGATAGTATAGACATTTTAATGATGTTGAGTCTGCCGATCCACGAGCATGGTATGGATTTTGCTTTTTAGTTTGATCAGGTCCCATTTATTTATTTTTGTTGCTGTTGTAATTGCCTTTGGGGTCTTCTTCATAAATTCTTTGCCCTAGGCCAGTGTCTAGAAGAGACATTCCAACAGTTTCCTCTAGAATTCTAATAGTTTCATACCTAAGGTCTAAGTCTTGAGTAATTAAATCAGTTTAGTATTGGCACAAAAAAAGGGATATTGACCAGTGAAACAGAACTGAGAACCCTTATATAAAGCCATCCTCGGATAGCCATCTAATCTTCATAAAAGCAGACAAAAACATTCACTGGGGAAAAGAATCCTTATTCAATAAATGGTGCTAGGAAAACTGGATAGCCACATGTAGAAGGGTGAAGCAGGATCCACACCTTTCACCTCTCACAAAAATCAACTCACACTGGGTAACAGACTCCCCTTCATTTCTGAAATTCAAGATTGCTGAGCACAGCAATCTTATTATGGCTGACAAGTTTTTTCCTTTCAGGATTTTGAATATCTCATCCTACTATCTTCTGGCCTATAATGTTTTTGTGGAAAAATGCAGTGAACTTCTTACGGGGGGGTCACTTGTACATAACCAGTTGCTTTTACCCTCCCACTTTTAAGAAAATTACATAACTTTTTCCCCCCATTGCACTTTTCATCGACTAAAATTAAGTCCCTCCTGTGCCTCCAGTGAAAGCTCCGTGACAGCAGGGCTCTTGTCCTCATGTTTCCCTGGAGTTCTCCCCCAGGACCCAGCACCCAGCATGTGACAGGACACAAAGTGGCAGATCCAGAAACATTTGTGAGAAAACTGAAGGCACTGTGAGTGTAGAATTTGTGGGCCTTACTCTTCTATAGTGGCCATCTCTTTTGGACATTTTGGGCAATTTAAGTCTTTCTTTTATTTTTATTAGCACTCCTTTATTTTTCATCATTCATTTGGTAGTGCTAATTTAAATTTCTATTTATGTATTTATACATTCTTTTATTTTATTTACTTATTCTTTAGGATATCATGGGAGAGTCTAGATTTGCAGGTGGGGATCTTCGCAGTAGAGAAAACCTCCCCTGAGCAAAGCTGCTTGGCTCTGTTGAGTTCTCCTCCATTTGCTATGACAAGTGTCCTCCTATCCTTAATTTTTACCAATTTGATTATAATGTGCCTAGGTGTAGGTCTCTTCTGGTTTATACTATTTGGTCTTCTTTGGGCTTCCTAGACCTGGATTTTTATTTTCTTCCTCAGGCTTGGAAAGTTTTCTGCCATTGTTTGTTTGAAAGTATTTTCTCTACCTTTTCCCTCTCTTCTCCTTCTGGTATGACAATAATACATACACTGCCCCATTTGATGGTATCTCATAAGCCCCTTTAGCCATCTTCACTCTTTTTCATTCTTTGTTTTGTTTTTGCTCCTCCAATTGGATGATTTCCAGTGACCTGTCTTCAAGTCCTTCCTGGATCTTTATTCTGCTTGATCTAGTCTGCTGTTTAAACACTCTACTGGAGTTTTCAGTTTGGTTATTGTACTTTTTTTTTTTTGGAGGAGACAGGGTCTCACTCTTGCTCAGGCTGGTCTCAAACTCCTGACCTCAAGCGATCCTCCTGCCTTGGTCTCCCAGAGTGCTAGGATTACAGGCATGAGCCACCACACTAGGCCTAGTTACTGTATTCTTCAACTCTATGATTTTAATTTTTTATACTATCTCTGTTGAAATAGTCAGTTTGTTCATGCATTGTTCTCCTGACCTCAGTGAACATCTTTCTAGCCATTCTTTTTTAGTACCTTGTGGGGCAAATCACTTATCTCCATTTCAGTAGGGCTAGTTTCTGGACATTTATCTTATTTCTCTATTTGAAATGTAATTCCCTGTTTCTTCAATTTCCTTGACTCTCTGTTGCTTTCTGCACATTAGATAATACAACAGCATCTCACAGTCCTCAAACTGGCTTCATGTAGGAGAAGGAGCACAACAATGAGTCTGGCCAGAGACTCAAATCTTTGTGTCTATTCAAACTTCTGTTTTTGTTTTTTATTGCTCCCAGGAGATTAGGATGTACTAAGTTCTGTTGATACCTCAAGACACTTAAGAGAGAATCCAGGCCTTCTAGATATAGATGAAAAGGCTGAAGTATTAGATGTGTGTTCCAATTCCTTCTCCCTTAGGGGTAAAGTTGAGACCAGTTTATCTTCCACTATTCTCTGTACTAAGCCAGGGAGAGAATCTATGGCAAATACCTACTTTCCTCTCATCCTGGGAGGAAAGCCACTGAAAGTGGGCCCACAAAATGTCCAATTCTTTGTTTTGTGTGGTCTAGGAAAACTCAAGAAATTCACAGCCCCATCCTCGGCCAGAGCTAAGTGGTTAAGGAGGCCATACCTTGGGTGAGAGCTTTAGAAGTTGTGGTACTCAATGTGTGGACAACCTCCATCCAAGTAGAATCTACAGACCTAGCTTTATCACTGGAACACGCCAGGGTAAAAGGTTTGGTTAGTGCCCAAACTCCCATTGAGGTTCCCAAAGGTCTACAGTTTGCCCTGTTGGCTCCCAGATGCAAGCTAGATAGGAGCCCAATCCTCAAGGAGCCATTGGAAGAGTATGGAGACAAACCCTTTCCAGAAAGAAACTTGGGGATGTGTATGTTTTAGCTACTCCTCTGCACTGATCCTGGGAGATATAACCCCTGAAAATGTTTATTTAAAAGCATCTCTTTGTTTTGTTACTATGGCTGATATGTCCTATGACTTTATATGAAGCATCTACTGTTTTATGTAATTACTTTGAGATTCATTTATGTTGTTGCATTATCAATAGTTTATTACTCTTTATTAGTGAGTTATTTTCCATTGTATGGATATATCATAGTTTGTTTATCCATCTTCCTGTTGGTGAAAGTCTGAGTTGCTTCTAATTTTTGGCTATTATAAATAAAGCTGCTATAAACAAGAAGAAAGCAAACAAAGCAAAATAAAACAAACTAATCCAGAGCTATATTAACAGAGGGCTAAGAGCTGTTGGTCACATTTGTTATATGATTGTCTAATCATTCTGAATTATACTTATACCTATATATGTAAAAATAAAATATTCTGAATTATGCTTATATCAATAACATGAAGTACTAGAGATGCCATTAATACAACTGAATTTGAACACAGTAGCTATAAAAATTGTACAGCCGCATACAGTAACACTTCATATAGCAAGGTAAAAAAAAAAAATAAAAGATTACAAATCTCACCAAAAAAGCAAAAGGAAAAAATGTGTCAGGTTACTAAACAAACCATATACCATGTATATATGTATGTATACAAATAAGCCACAAATACATTCTAAACATTCTGGTAGCAAATATGAAGGAAAATACTAATTATTTATTGATGGCTAATCATTGACCTAACACACATCTTTAATCCTAATATATATTATCTCCCACACTGTAGATGAGGAGAGAAGTTAAGACAAGTTATGGTACTCCAAAAATCACAGAGCAATGAACTGATCCATAATGTGAATGCAAGTCAGTTTAAATCCAATGCCTATCCTCTCATAGGAAAGGCCCTCTCATAGGAAAGGCTCTCTGATATTGCCTTTCTAATAATAAATATTTATATTTGATTCATATTGCCTCTCTAACATTAAATATATACATTAGAATCTACAAGACATGCTAAAATAAAAATAAGTACATTTAATTTTAAAAAGACATACAAAGAGATGGGATTCCTATGATTAATTGGAATTATTTATTTCGGATGTATATAAAATATTTGTGTTAGCTACACTATGAAGCTTAGTGAGAAGTAATCCATTTAAGCAGAACAAAAAGAACAGTGCAAACAGTTAGGCCCACAGGTGACACCCAAATACTAAAAGACTGAAGAGACGGTAAAGGAAAACAAATGCACATATAAAGTTTTTGATATTAAATGTGTTCTCATTAGCTCTTTTCCTTTATATGTTTTCATAATAAGAACATAATTACAAACCACTCAAATTAATGTTCTTTGTGATTTAAAACATTATCCACCACCATCAGAAATCACATCAGCATTATGCTAAATTTTCTTTGGAAATGTAAGGTGACTTAATTAGAAAGGATAATAAAAGCAGATTCATTTTCTTGTTTCTTGAATTAGAGAATCACAGGAAAATTAATAGCTATTCGTTAGTTTTTTTTTAATTTTGAAATTAAGGTCCTCAACAAGGTTACAAGTGACAGGATTCCTTTTTCAGGAGGGTACAAGAGAAGGAAATGCTAACATTTTTCTTCCTTTAATAAACTCAATAAATAAATTTGAAATTCTGTCTCTCCATAAACAATACACATTGGGGTAGGTAAATTATAGTCCATGTGCCAAATCCTGCCTACTGTTTATAATAATATCTGGTTTATATGACTGAAAAAAAAAATCAAAAGAATAATTATTTCACCACATGTGAAAAATTACTTGAAATTCAAATTTCAGTGCCAGTAAGTAAAGTTTTATTAGAATGTAGTCACTCATTCAATTACACATTGTCTATAGCTGCATTTGTGCTACGACATCAGAGCCAAGCAATTAAAATAGAAACCACAGGGCTACAAAGACTATCTGTCCCTTTACAGAAAAACTTGGTAAACTCCTGTTATAGATGATGAGGATTAGGTAACACGAATTAAAAATTATTTTAAAATCAGATAAAATTCAGAATGTAATCTTAACCTGACTCAAGGAGAAATGAAAAGACCTTATGTAAAGAGATATAACTAAACGAAAATTTACATATACATTCAGAACTGATTAAAACACTAGAAAATAGTATATATCACAAATAAATATTTACCTGAACCATTAGGCTTGGCCATTTCCTAATAACGTAATTTCTAAAATAGATTCAACTAAGTGCACACAATTAGTCACTATCTTGGATATAAGTAAGGTATTTTTTCTCTTTGATTTATAAAGATGATTTATATCAGTAATAAAAAAATTACAGGCCGGGCGCGGTGGCTCACGCCTGTAATCCTAGCACTCTGGGAGGCTAAAGCAGGTGGATTGCTCAAGGTCAGGAGTTCAAAACCAGCCTGAGCAAGAGTAAGACCATCTCTACTAAAAATAGAAAAAAAATAATCCAACTAAAAAAAAAAAAAAAAATATATAAGGTCACTATATATGTAAATAAAAATTAGCCAGGCATGGTGGCACATGCCTGTAGTCCCAGCTACTCAGGAGGCTGAGGCAGGAGGATCACCTGAACCCAAGAGTTTGAGGTTGCTGTGAGCTAGGCTGACACCATCACACTCTAGCCCGGGCAACAGAGTGAGACTCTGTCTCAAAAAAAAAAAAAAAAAAATTATATAGTAAGGTGCCAATAAAAATAAAATGTTTTCATAATACTCACCTTTGGAAGGGCAGGCTTAGATTTGAAGTTCTTGTTTCTCCTAAAGAGATAAATCATCCATTAAAAAAAAAAAAAAAACTATTGTAGAGAGGAATGATTTCAAGGTCTCCACTGAAACGACAGATTCTATACTCATATCTAAGAATGTAGGTCCTCTATATGAAAACACTATCTGATTCAACCAAGCAGGCACCTTTGGGAAGTAAGGGTAAGCAAGAAAAAGAAAAGGGGGGAAATGATACTTGCCCTATAATTTATTAACAGTTACAAGCAGACCTAGGCCTGATGATTAGTAGCTTAATATTGTATTCTAAGCTACAGGTTCATTTTCTTGGGTGTTAATATGGGCTCAGCTTTCTTATACCTCCAGAAGACTAATTTCTGTCATTTCAAGATTTTAAATGAGACGACTCAATTTCACAGATTTTTAAAAATGTGCTTGCCAATGAAATATAATCTTCCATTTTTGATAATTAGAAATTCTTCTCTTCAACTTTTTTTCTTATTTAAAACTCAATAGCATACTTAAATCAAGTCTTTTTTATTTTATTTTTCATTTTTTTATGGCTTCAGAAAGAGAGAATAAAGCCCAATCCTTATAAATATGGGCTGTAAAGTGAAAAGACCTGGGCTAGAATCTAAGGTCTACCACCTACTACTCTTTAAGCCTTGGTTTCATTATGTAATAATATAAAATGAGGATGACAATATCACCTGCCACTTACAGCTGCTGTGAGACTTAAATGAGTTAACATACATTTCTGCAGTAAAGCAAGACAAAAATTGAGCTTATTAATATTATTAAGTGATGATTTAGACAGGGATTAAGGAATACAATTCAATCACACTTCTAGCTAGTGTTAAAAAAATATGCTTGGGAAGTGTCTGAAACATGTTAATGCTAATAACTAATAACTTCCTGGTCCATCAAGCACAGTCTATATCCTCAGACCAGTTCTAGCAAGATTAGGTAGGTGTTATATACCACTACATATGATCCCATTCACCGTTTACAGGGAAATTTCCTGCCCAATTTGTTAGGACTGCCAGAATTGAAAAACAATTGGAGTAAAAACTGGAAATCTTAAAAAGTACTAAAAGTTTTTTCTTTCTCCCAAAGTAGGGTCTGTTAAAGACCAATAAAGAATCATCTCCATAATAAATACATTCAACCATGATTCTCCTGGTACTATTGGGAATGGGTGGTGGGGGAAATCAACAAAAACACTAGCAAGAGTTCCATTGCTCTACTACCTAAATACTTTTGAGTATTATTTCAGTCAAAATTCTACACATGAAAATAACACTTCACTATCTCCCATCTTAATTTTCTTTAGCCAGAAATTGTAAACTAGTCATAAAAAAGCAATCCACATTATTGATCAATACTGACGTGAGAATTCCATGGGCTCTCTCCAGGAGTTTGCTGCTAGCTGAATTTGCAAATATCCCATCTTTATCAAGCAAGGAGGTGGTACTTGATAGTCTGCTCTGGCGAATCCCAGTTCTGCCATTCCAGGGAATATCAAATGTATCACTGTGAAAAATATAGTATAAATTTGCTTTAGTTAATCAAGACATCTCTAATTTACAATATATTGCTTGAAAAAGTAAAATAAAACTTTTAAAACCAGAGTTAAAATTTAGAAAAAAATTATAAACCAGCAAAAACTGATTTTATCAGAATGATAACCAATCAACTGGGACTACCCTTTTACTTATTCAAAACAAAAAATTCCTAAGGATTTTGGCATATTTACATATAAATGTGCATGTCATGCAGATGAAATCTTCAAATATGTTATCATTCAATAATCAACAAATAATATAATGTATTAAAGTATAACAGCTTTTCTCTTTGTTAGATTTTAGAACTTGCAAATGCTACTGCATGAATTTGTAATCCAAATAGGTTATTCCATCCTATAAGATTTCTAACTTCCTCCTAAAAGGTCTCCTGCACACACACACTCACTACTCACATGCCCACCAAAGTTACCAAGCTCCTATTATGGGTTGAGCACTATTCTAGGCACCAGAGATATAGGAATGAACAAAACAGATACAATTATTCAGAGTTAACGGAGGGTTTTCCAGGCAAAGATTGTAGAGACCAACAACAAATAAACAGATAAAGAAAATGTGGCATATATATACAATAGAATATTATTCAATCATAAAAAAATAAAATTCTGTCATTTGTGACAACATGGACAAATCTAGAGGACCATTATGTTAAGTGAAATAACTCATATACAGAAAGACAAATATCGCAGGATCCCACTCACATGTAAAATCTAAAATTGCTGGTCTCATAGAAGTAGTGAATAAAACAGTGGTTACCACAGACTAGGGTATAGGAACAGGTTAGTCAACAACTACAACAATAAATTTTTTACAGTGATACATAGCTAAATAGTAGGAATAAGTTCTGGTCTTCCACTGCAAAGTGGGGTGACTACAGTTAACATTAACAAAAAGATATTGTATAACTGGCTGCGGTAGCTCATGCCTGCAACTCCAGCACCTTTGGGAGGCCCAGGCAGGACGATTGCTTGAAGTCAGGAGTTCAAGACCAGCCTGAGCAAGAGTGAGACCAAAACCCCACCGAATCACATACTTGAAATGGGTCAAATTTTGGGGTATGTAAATTATGTCTCAGAGAATCTGCTTAAAACAGGGGCTCAGGAATCAGCAATGCTGGAGCTAAAATACAATATAACAATGGCTTTAAAATTCTATCAAATGGTGTTAAGGTTCACTAGGGATTCGGGGGGCGGAGGGGACCCAATCTTAGGGATGTGGCAAGCATTTGAGGGGAAGGGCATAACTCGAACCCTTCTTAGGGAGAGGCAAAGATATACAATGTAACTAAAATGTCAAAAACAAAAAACAACAACAACAAAAAATACTTTTCATCTAGTGGTGGGCAGGTGGAAGAGGGGAAGAGGAGAAGGGTGTGTACTTACATAATGTGTGCAGTGCGTACCACCGGGGGATTGGACACGCTTGAATCTCTGGCACATGGGAAAGAGGGAGGGAGGCAGGGGCAATATTTGCAACCCTAACAATATTTGTACCCCCATAATACGATGAAATCAAAGGAAGAAAAAAAAATTCTGAAGAAAAATTATTTCCAACCAAGAGTTCTATGTATAGCCAAATCATTAATCACATGTGAGGGCAGAATAAACATATATTTAGATATGGAAGAACCAAAACATTTTCTTCCTATATAAAGTTTCTCAGAGAGTTACTGGATGAAATACTCTATAAGAGTAACAAAGTAGAACTAAAAGAGGAAGAAATAGTATAGAAAATAGTTGATGCAAAACAGAAGAATGATAACAAAATACCCAATATAAAGATAAAGAAAGCAATCAATATGACAGCTATGCAGTAGATCTAGACAATAAATCTTTCAGGTTGGTACAGATAAAAAAAAAAAAAAAACAGTAGAGCTTTCTATGAGAAACTTCATTTTCTTTCTATGAGAAACTTCATCTGTAGATGAAGGCATCTACAGATGCCTTCACAGGAGGCATCTGTAAGTGACCAGAGAATTTCCAACAATTATAAAGATCAGCCTGAGGATGAAATAGTGACAGGCACATATGAAATTTTAGAAGAAAATCTAGATGAATATATGACTTGGGACAAGAGAAAAATTGCTTAAATAAGTTATAAAGTGGACAAACCATAGAGAAAAAATGAATATATTTAATTATATTATTAAGTGTAAGAATTTCTGTTCATTAAAGAAATTGAATTATAAGCAACAAATGGGGAGAAAGTATTTATAACATATAACTGAAATGGAACTAGTACACAAAATTTATGAAGAGTATTTTTAAAAACTATGGGTATATATATACTGGTATAACCATTTTGAAAAGCAATTTTAGATTATTTCACAAAACTAACACATACCTATGTTATTGAACTAGCAATTTCACAACTAAGTATATATCCTAAAGGTTTAATAATAAGTAAACTAGAATACTATATGAGCATGTTTAAAGGAGCAACATTTGTAATAGTAAAAACGCTGGTAAACATCCACATGCCCAATGACATGAGAATGGACAAATCGACTGTGGTATACTAATGACAAGTAATTTTTTTTATTGCAGTAAAATATACATAACATAAATTTTACCATTTTAATAATTTTAAGTTTATAATTCAGTGACATTAAGTAAATTCACGATGCTGTACAAATATCTCCAACATGTATCTCTAGGACTTTTTCATCATGTCAGAATGAACCTCTGTACTCATTAAGCAATAAACACCTGAATACCATGCAACTTGTTCTGCACCATTCTTTTTATTTTATGGTAAAATGTATCTAACATAAATGTATCTAACCATTTAAACTACTTTCAAGTGTATAATTCAGTAGCATTAAGTACATTTTACACTGTTGTGAAACTGTCAAAACTATCTCTAGGCCCCACCGACCACCTGAGGCACTAGAGTGCCTCTCCAGAGGAACAAGAACTAGATACAAGACCCAAAATCAACAGTATAGCCTGTTCCTCCAAGCAAGCCCCACCTAATGAGAGGGAGGAAATTCTGCACACGATTTCCACAGTACCTACTAACTCATCAAACAGGCTGTGATAGAATTTCACCCACAAATACTACTTATCAGCTCAGAGACTAAACAGGGAGTGTCAATACCCAAACAAAAACCTAAAGGAAAGAAACAACAACTGATCCAGATGGGAGTAAATTAGCAAAGGAACTCCGGAAATATAAAGAACCAAACAGAAAATACACCCCCAAAGAGGAGTACCAGTCCCTTAGAAATGGACATCAACAAAAATCAGGCAACCAAAATAACAGAAGAGGAATTTCAAATGTGGATCATAAGAAAATTCAACAACCTGCAAGAACAACTGGATAACCAACACAAAGAAAACACAAGAAGACTCCAGGACTGGAACAAAAATTCATCAAAGAAATTGAAACAATAAAGAAAAGTCTAACTGAACTCCTGGAAATGAAGAATCAATTCAGGAAACTACAGAACACAGTGGAAAGCCTCAAGAACAGGGTAGATCAAACAGAAGAAAGAATCACAGAGACTGAAGATAACACCTTCCAATTAAATAAATCAGTCACAGAGATAGAGCAGAGAAACAAGAGAAAAGAGCAAAGCCTACAAGAGATGTGGGATTATGTGAAAAAACTTAATGTGAAGGTTATAGAGTTACCCAAACAGGAAGAAGAAAACACTCAAGGGTTGGACAAGCTATTTGAAGATATAATAGAGGAAAATTTCCCAGGCCTTGCTCAAAATCTTGATATACAAGTACAAGAAGCTCAGAGGACCCCTGGGAGATTCAATGCAAACAGGAAGACATCACTACATGCAGTCATCAGACTGACCAAAATATCAACTAAAGAGGCCCTTTTAAGAACTGTAAGGCGAAAGAAGCAAGTTACATACAAAGGAAAGTCAATCTGAATAACGCCAGACTTCTCTACTGAAACTTTACAGGCAAGAAGACATGAGGGCTCCACTCTCACTCCTATGAAACAAAACAATGCCCAGCCTAGAATCTTATTCCCTGCAAAACTAAGTTTTGTATACTAAGGAGAAACCAAGACATTCTCAGATGAGCAAAGACTGAGGGAATTCACCAAGAAAAGACAAGCCATTCAAGAAGTACTCAAAACAATATTACCCGACAAATCAACACAACACACACTCATGAATGTAAATCTACTCAAAAGCTAAAGATCAAAGCCCAGAAACCACAATGGCTCAAGAGAGAAAACAAAGCAACAAAGTTCAACCCAAAATAATGAACAGAAATCTGCCCCACCTATCAGTTATCTCAATAAATATGAATGACTTGAACGCCCCACTCAAGAGACATAGGCTGGCCGAATGGATAAAAAAATACAAGCCAAGTGTCTGCTGCCTTCACGAAACACATCTAACCTGCAAGGATGCAATTAGACTAAAGATAAAGGGGTGGAGAACAAATGGAAGCCAAAAGAAAGATGGTATGGTGGTGCTGACTACAAGTTTTTAAATCAAAAAAAGTAATAAAAGACAAAGAGGGTCACTATATAATGGTGAAGGGTACAGTTCGACAAGAAGACATAACAATTCTAAATATATATGCACCCAACCTTGGTGCACCCAGATTCATAAAGCAACCTCTACTTGATCTAAACAAATGGATAAACCACAACACCATAATAGTTGGAGACATTAACACTCCACTGATAGCACAGGACAGATCCTCCAGACACAAAGTCAACAAAGAAATAATGGACTTAAACAGAACTCTAGAACAAAGGGCCTGACTGACATTTACAGGACGTTCTACCACAAAACCACTGAATATACATTCTTCTCATCAGCTCATGGGTCATTCTCTAAGATTGACCACATCCTAGGACACAAAGCACGTCTCAAACAATTTAAAAAAATAGAAATCATACCATGTATCTTTTCAGACCACAATGGAATAAATGTAGAAATCGATCCTAACATGAGTCCTCATTTCTACACAA